GACATTGAATTGGCTATTGAAATGGTATCAGTAAAGTATTTATATATTCCATATTTTGTTCCATGCATCAGCTTTCCTTGATGCGTTAGACTTGGAAGTGTGCCATGTGAGCTGAAATGTTGCCATTTATGAAAGGCCACCTTGTTTTAGAAACGGACTAAATCTTTTAGGATACAGGAAGTAAAGTAAATCAGTTTGAGTACAGGCACATCTTTTTGCCCCTTCTCCTGCATGTTTTACCTTGTCTCTTCCTTGTGTGCTTCAGAAGCTGACTGTGCTTACGGTAAATATCAGTGTTCACCTAACAGCTAAATATAGTGATAAAAATAACCTCTACCATAAAAACTGAATGAATGACAAGAACAGTACAGTTTCATGAAACAAGAAATCCACAGAAGAAATATCGTAATTTAAAGTTGGTTTTACAACATTCTTTAATTTTAAATGGAGCAAAATACTTCTGTGGTTAAATCACAGTTCTTCATTCTGAGCTGTAGAGGAGATTCAAGAATGTACATTTCAGAATGTTTTGCCTTTTTTTTTTTAATAAAAAAATATAATCCAAAGCAAATGCACTAGATCTCTGCATACTTGAAACATATTTTCTGAATTTATTAAGTCTTTCACTGCACCAGAGGGTTGTGTGTATGGATTAGGACTAGACCATTATTTCACCATCTTTCTCCATTCTGAACTGATTGCAGTGAACACTACAGAATGAGTTCCAGATGTCTCCTTTTCCTTCCAGTTTGAAGGACTTCTGGTTTCAGCCCCATTTGATCCGAACTGGGCTAAGGAGTGCAAGTCTATCACTGTTTAGAGGGATTCAGTGGAAAAAAATCTGTGCATCTGAAAGAAGTTACTCCCTCTATGTACACAATCTGAAATGTGTGATGCTGGGGGATACTGCCTGTATGAAACTTTCTGGTGTGTCCCTGCTAATTCAGGATTATTGCTTGAAATGTCAGGGTCCATCAGAAAAAGAAAGATAGAAATAGCTTTGCAAATGGGGAGTTTGGTTTGAATTAAGAACGTGAAAATGCTTTTGAATTCAAGAAATTGGGCAATTTTAAGACATGGTGAAAGTTCTTCCAAATTTCAAGCAAAATTCAATGTATATGTTGTTGTATTATAAAACTGGAGCAAATGTACATGAAATCTCACCGAGGCTGGTTTTCACATGTAAAAATTACAGTTTTTCCTCTTAAGGGATTCTTTCTTCCCCTCCCAAACCCTTATCACCTCTGAATATATGAATAGCAGAATATCCACTGAGAGTGTATAAAAAATGTCCCTACAGAAAAAGCTTCATGGAATGACATGACTTAAAGTAAACTTGGCTTGTGAATATGATTTAAATACTATTTTGTCTTTAGCTTTCATATCAACCATTACAATAAAAAGTGTTGGTTGTTTTGTTTATTTTTTTTAATTAAAAAATAAATAGTGATTTGTAGAAGCTGGAGTTCTAGGCTAAGTATCAGATGCTACAAGCTTTAGGAGTTCATGTAGCAAGAAGTGATAATGGTTTTATCTGTGGTCGCTTCACTCTGTACTCCGTCACCGCTTCATCCCCTGAATGATTTATGTCTTAAAGAGCTGCTAAGGTTCTCTGGGCATGCGGGTGGTGGGGCAGTGGTGGGTGCAGAGCTGCTGTAGACAGGTGCTCCCAGTCCCATCACTCCCTCGGAGGTCAGGGAGCCATATGGAAAGGCAGGGAACAGGTAAACAGCAGCAGTAAGAGCAGAATGGCTCCCACGAGGGTTTTGCTATTAAAGGGAGTGGAAAAGAGGGATGCAAAGGCTGTTCTCCTGGGTGGTGTGGTGGTGTCTTCCAAGCATGTGGAAAAGTTTTGCTCTTTGCATTGTACTTCTTCGAAAGCCCCTTTTCCCCACCCCCAGGGAGAGAGTCTCTGCTCTGACCAGATAATCTTGTACTCTGGTAAGAAGTGTTTTGAGGTGTGCTTGAAAGGAGCCTTATTTATATCTCCTTACAGAAGGCACAGCTAGGGAAGTTATGGACAATCAGAGATAAATCCATCTGCCTGCAATCATACAGTAGGAGAGTGGCGCTTAGGTCTTTGCAAGGGGGAGAGAGAGGTTTAAGAAAAGGAAAGTGGTCTGTAAAGGGTGTTTGTCTGTAAAGGGGTGTTTAACCCCTAAGAGGTCCAGAGAAAGGTAATTAGGAACAATCAAGCCTAATGTTATTAGATTTGTAAGAGAAGTACAGAGGTCTGTGGATAAGTTCAGCAGTCTGCAAACTGGGTGGTAGACACTATTTGAGGTAGTAGAAACCATTTGGATCATGGTAGAGCGGCAACCTGAAATTGGAGGCCAAAACCAAAACACTTTTTCTCACTATTGTGTTCAATTTAAGTAACAAAACATTGCCAGCTTTTTGGGAAAGTCTCCCCCTTCCAATCTGAATGCGTTTCTGATCAAACCTGAACTTTGAAATGCAGTGAAGGAGGGAGCAGGAGCCATGTGGTTGGTTACAGCTCAGGATCGCTTTTAGTTATCACCAGCTGAATTGAAGGATACAGGCTGTGCCTGCTTGCTGAGAGCAGCAGTCTGTTAGAGGAGCTCGATTTCTCTCACTCCTTCTTCCACCCACCTCCATCTCCTCTGTGCCTGTGTCTGCGCTCCCACATGCTTCAAATCTGTGTACCTGGACTGCCTTCCTTAACAGTTCAATGTGAGTGTTAGCAGAATGAAAACCAGATGGACCAGCAGTTCCCACTGTTATCTCCCCACCAGCTCTGGCAAGCCTCCCTTTCTCTCTCCTTTCTTGGCATGGCAGAAATATTTGCCTTTATTTAGGAGGGCTGGGGCTCACTGCTGTGCCTCTTTCCCTCTGTTGCAACATGAGCTGAAAGCTATTTATTCCCTTGTTGCTGAGGTTGGTTGAGGTGAGTGCAAGATGAATTTGGCTATTAAGGAAGCAATTAACATTTCAAGATGAGTTTTCGTAGTTCTTTATGTTAAATTAATGGCTTGTTGGAGATACAGATTTAACTGTTTTAGTATAGGGATATGGAAAAGAAATGTGTATAGAATATGTTTAGAAACTTGCTTTTGTTTTCCAGCATGTAATAATTTGCTGTTGCTTGATTTGCAAATCAAACCTCACTTATCTGTATAGCAGCCTTAATATTTAAGCTAATCATTGTGGATACTCTTCCCTCCACATCTGAGGTGGAGGGATCTACCCTTAGATCAACACCACTATAAAGTTGTATCTGTATTCCCCTCATCCTGTTCGGGGGGTGTTTCACTGCTCATCTTCCCCAAACTTGTCTCTAAATTCTATGTGAAATGACTCCCTTTCCCTGAGAACTGAAACATTGCCTGTAAGCATTTCTACAAAGGGCAAAGATGGCTTCTATAATTGCAGTACCTGACACACTGCACCTCTGGGACTTACTTCCTCAGTTTTCTCAGTTTCAGGCAGCTAAAGATTGGTATCTGTTATGTGTTGTTAATTTTTGGGGGAAGTGGGAGTGTGTTTTGGGGGTTTTCCCAACTTCCCCCCTCCCCCCTTTTTTATTTTGGTAACTTTCTCATATTTAAGTTTTCTGGTAATTAAGTGTTTTGAGGCTCTTTTAAACATACTCTTCATTTGTTAAACGTGTGCAATGTATTTAATTTGTTATTGAGGCAAATTTTTTTGTCTCTTGGGGGCAAATTTCTGATAAGATTTTGTCATTGAAGTTTATATCTTGTTAGTAAGAAGAAGGATAACACGTTGCAAAGTGGAGTGACAGAATTTATAGAACATGATGGGCTTTGCTATTGTCTTGAATTAAAACCACAGACTTACGTGCTTGTCCATTAGCAGCAACACTTACTTGCTTTACAAAAAGTTTCATGGAGCTTGGGAAGACTTGTGTAGAGCAGTGTATAAGTAAATAACTGTGGCTGCCCGAGGAAGAGATGGAAGAATTTAACTTATGCCTATTAAAACCTAAACTTGATTGTACTCATCTTTACTCAAGATGGCTCGCTAAATTCCTGGCATGAGTGAGGAAGCCTTAATTTTGCTTTCAGTTGGTAAATGTTGCCAAGTTTTGGCCATTCTTAATAAATGAAACATAAAGGCTCACATGGTTTTTAAAAAATTTTAACATAAAAGTGTCCAAAAACATGTTGGAAGAAAGATTACACTTCTGTAGCTTCTATATCAAATGTCTTGCGTGTTTAGATCTTTAGTTGCAAGAGAAGTGTTAAGTTTTCTACCTGGTTTTGCCTTTTGTTTGTTTTGTTTTCTCAGGTAGGTATGTTCCTGCTTATCTTGCAGGTTTTGAATTAAAGTTGTTCTTATTGTGTAATGTGCAAACTTACATGCTTATTTAAAAACAGTAGTATGTATATGAGACGATTGACTTACCATTTTGGCATGTTGTGTTTATTTTTCTGGTGAATGTGGGAATATCCAGTGGCACTGTGGTAAAGTGATCCAGGAGGTGTGTGGTGTTTACCATAAGTTTCTCTCCATGATTACAAAGAGAAGGGATGGAGAGGGCGGCAGGTGACACAAAGAAGAGACATGAAGAGAGCTGGCTTCAACCAATATACCACCCAATATCTCACCTGTACTATAGAGCTTCAGGTTTTAGTTCTGGAAGAGCTGCCAGAAGGGGATTTATTATCTTTTTGTGTCTTCATCTATTTTTTTCCTCCTGGCTGACATCAGAGCCTTGAAGGGAGGTGGCATTATTGCAGCTTCAGGAGTGCTTGGGAGGTAGCATCAGTACATGCTAGAAAAAACCCTGGAAGATAATGCAGCACTGCTACAAGTCAGGTCTTACCACCTGCATTACACCTTTTTAAGTAAGGTTTAGATGATGTAATTTGGGAAGAGCACACTGGAGTAGATAATCAGGTGTAATCTTTCACAGCAGATGCTGAAATGGCTCGCTTCTTGCATTAGCTTTTAAGTTTTTGTCAGAGGGAGTGTGCTTGGGGAAATAAACCAGTGTGTTCCTGTGGTGTGTGTTGCAGATCGCACTGAGAAGCATTCCACAATGCCAGACTCACCTGTGGATGTGAAGACACAATCCAGGCTGACGCCTCCAACCATGCCACCTCCTCCCACTACCCAAGGAGCTCCAAGAACCAGTTCATTCACGCCCACAACGTGTAATTAGTCTTATTTTCTTTCTTGTCTTACATCTTCTTTCTGTTCTGTGCATAAGGAACCAAAATATGCAAAGGGAAATGTGCATGATGTGACAGGAGCAGCATTTGGTTGTACTGCACTAAAGTAATTAAGCAAAACTAAGCTCACAACATATTAATACATCCTTAAGGTATGAAGATGGTCAGCTCGGAGTTGTGTTGTTATTTCACTGACAACTTGGCCACAGTGTCAAACAACAGCAAGCAGTGGTTTCCTAGGCACTTAATGCTCAGATCAGTCCCCTTGTCAGAAGTACAGGAAATATTCTCTTACATGCCCTTTTGTTGTTTATAGGATCCCGTTCCCTTTTGTATAGAAACATCAGGGAGTTTGTTTGTTTGTTTGTTTGTTTTTAAAGTGGGGATAATTCATAGTGAAAAAAATACTTATTTTCCTCCCACTTACATTTCAATGAAGAATTCTGATTTAAGTGCTGTATAATATCTAGTTAATATTGATATAAAACCAAAATTAAAGCCCTGTCATAATTTTTACTGGAGGTTTTCAGTCTGTGACCACTTCACTTCTCTAAATCACTTGGGGCTGCATCTCTTGTCTCAGCGTGTTGATATAAACACATAAAAAACTCTACTAATCTTGGTGGAATTACTCTGCATTTGTATCAGTGTAACTGAGATTTGAATCTGGCATACTGTCTGACTGTTCTTTTCACAGCCATGAAATGATCTGCATTTCTCTTACTAAGATTTAGCTGCAAATTTTTTGGTCTCTTTTATACTGCCTTGTAATAGTATAAACATGAGAATGTGTTTACATTTCACATTTTAAATAAAACATTTTTAGAACAGTAGAATACATATGCCTAAACAGAATGAAGGCAGCATCTTCTATTTGTCTTGCCTATGTCTGTTTAGTCCCTTTCTGTCTGTTAGATACCTTATTTAAAATTCACCTCTATGCAGAAGGCCAGCTGGAGGCCTTTGTACTACTTATCCCAGGGAACCCTGTCCTGACAATTTACATTGAATTTAAACAGTGAGGAGGGTTTGTGCCAGTTATTCACATAAACTCAGATTTAACCCAGTGACCCTGATCCTGCAAAGATTTGTCTGTTTTGCTTAACTCCAGCACCTGAATCATCCTGGGTGGAGCTTCAGACTGGAGCTGCTCCAGTCTGAAATTAAATTGTTTCTGGGTTTTTGCAGGATTGGGCTCTTGCAGATTAAGCTTTCCAGTGTGATGCCCTTGCCACAGTTCAGGATAATCTTTGGCAATCATAAAAGGAATATGACAGTGTTCTTTAATCACACTTACAGTCCTCAGTGTACTCACAAGATTTTTAGGTGTTTGTTTGATTGATTGAGTTCAGCAGTTTGGAAGGTGTTTGAACCATAGCTGGATATTTGGAGCTCTCTATTTGAAGACTAAAAGCCTAAAAAAAAATCTGATTTTAATTGCTTTTTTACCCTGTCAGATTTTGGATTTTGGCCTTAGCGGTTCCAGCTTGTATGGTAAACAGTCACTTCTGTCACAGTGTCTGTTAAATTTATTATTACTGCAGTGGGAATGCCTGCAGGCCAGAAAGATCAAACTTGTTTTCTGGTCTAGAATATCCTTGTTTTCTTTGGGTTAGATGATTAAAAATTCTTGACATGTCTTATTTTGAAATTCTAAATGCTAAATTCTTTTGTATTAATAACATGGTTTTGTTTTAGAAATTATGTAGATCTTTGCCAATTGGCAAATAGAAATATTATAAAGAAAGAGTTGAAATCATGGAACTATTTCCATATTCCTTTTGTTGTTGGAGAAATCTTTACCTGCCTTTCTGTGCTTTCTTGATCATAGCCCCAGGACCCTCTGCCTATAGCAGCCCCTTACTGGTGACAGAGTTGTTGGGTAGTGTCAGGCTAGGTCAGGGCATGTCGCTATTCTTCCCAATCCTCATTTTCTAAGTTCATGGCATGATGACTTTTGGCTATGCAAGTTTCATGATGTATTTGTTTACTCAGATATCTCACTCTGTAGCACTCAGAGCATGGCTTGGAGTCACATGTGGAGCTGAATTTGCAGAGGCCAACTTCTTTCTATTTCTACTTTTTCCACTTCTTGTTCTCCCTAACCCTTGCAGACAGAATAGGCAACCAAAACTAGGATAAAACACAAGGAGAAACTAACATAGCTTTTTCTGTAGTGCCTCCGGAAGGCAGTCACTAGGGCAACAAAAGCTCCTTCAAAGTTTTGGGGTAGTGATTTATATGTAGTAATAGGTGTCCACCCTCAAAAAGGACTTCCTAGCTAAAAGTAAGGATGACTGATAAAGAAAATGACACAAAAATGGGATGTTTGGCTTCAGAAAGGCTGGTCATTGCAAACCATTGACAGTTCTTCAAGTTGCTCGGTTCCTTGGCTGTGCTTTTAAAGAGAAAGCAATTTATACTAATAGTCGTATGCATTTTGGATTGTAGGCAAGTTCCTGATTTTTTATAGGTTTTTTTTTGGATGGGTTCTGACTGATCCCCAAAAAGAAATCAGCACATTTCTCTGGAGCAGTGGCCAGCTGAGCACAGCTGCTGTTGAGTGCAATCACATGCTGTGTGCCCACACCTTCCCATGTGTTGGTGCACTTGTATTCCTAGGGAGCCATCCTTTTTCTTACCATTTGCTGTCATTTTAGCAAATCGGACTCAAAACAACCTCAATGGCGTGTGTTTGAGTGTTGCTGTTCCAACTAACCTGGGTGGAAAAGAATGTCCTCAGTTTGATTCTGTGCTCTCTTCTGTAGTGTGGATAAGAATCAAACTGAAATCACTGCCAAAAACTGTGTTGTCTTCAGTATGTCTGCATGAGTCTTGTTATAAATTGAGTACTTCAGATAGTTATTCTCACAGCAACCTTGCAACAGGAGGGAAATGCTTGCTTTTTTGTTTTCAGAGATATGGTGTTGGCACGTGAAAGCAGAGAGATTTGCTTGTGGTGTCTCAGAAGTCTTCTGAAGTCTAGCTTCATGCCATTGCTGCAAGGCTTCAGGCCACAGGGAGCATGGCAGCATTTGTACCTGCACAGACGACTTTGTGTGCTTCATATGTTAGCAGCTAGGAAATCTGTAGTGGAAAAAATAACCTTCTCGTTGGGTGGTGTAAGGTTAAAACGTGAAAGTCCTGTTTTATAAACACAGCTGTCAGTCGTGTGTACAAACCACAAGTAAAAATATTCAGAGATAAACTGAGGCTTCATGAAATATGTCTGCACATTTTTTTCTATCCCAAAGAGCAATTTTTTGGGTCTTCAATCGCACATGCACTCATACCTTTTCTCTCTCTGTTTCCCTCTTTCTCTTTTTAAAATCCTCTGACAAAAGGCTGGTATTCAAATGATGCTTTTCAGGTCCAGGAGCATTTTGAAGGGGATGTGTGAGAGGCAGCTGCTGTTACTTCCAATCCGTACACTGTTCAGTACCAGCTACTGGGAAATAAACTGCAGACTGTCGCTCTGTCAAAAGGCTAATTGTCTTTGATTGTGCAACTTAATTAATTTTGAGGTCAAGCACAAAAAACATAAGCTGAGGGATTTTCCCCTGTCTCCTTTTTCTCTCTATCTCTTTTCCCACCCCAATCTTTATTTTATCCTCCTGTCTCTTTTTCTTTCAGTAACCAATGGCACTAGCCATTCACCAACAGCGTTAAATGGAGCTCCATCTCCTCCTAATGGCTTTAGCAATGGGCCATCCTCTTCCTCTTCCTCTTCTCTGGCTAACCAGCAGTTACCGCCAGCTTGTGGAGCTAGGCAGCTCAGCAAACTGAAGAGATTTCTTACAACCTTACAGCAGTTTGGCAATGACATTTCACCAGAGATTGGGGAGAGAGTGCGTACCCTTGTGCTAGGACTTGTGGTAAGCAATAAAACTGGTATTTTTTCTGTCCTTTTCCCTCTTCCTTGCTTGATGTGTTTGTTATATAAACTTGTTGGTCAGATACACTGCATACATTGTACTTTAAGGATTGCAAACATGCAAGAGTGAAGTGCTGGCGCTTGCTGCCAGAGCTAATGTGTAGCTTGACTAGCTTCCCACAAGTGACAGCTATTCCCAACCAGGTATAACCTTGACTCTTTTTGCCAGTACAATATTATGCTGTAATGTTGTGATGGGGTTTTCATTCTATACTGGCAGTACTTCTAATATAGACATACCTTAAATTATGTAATGTAGTTAAAGTGGTTTGACTTGCCTAGTTTAATTGGATGGGGGAAGGAGAGTGCCCTACATATATAGTGCCAGAATACTGGTTAAAAGGATGAGCTGAGTATGTTTGGACTGCAGTTATGCAGTGCAAAACCTTTTCTCAGTATCACTGATCCCAAGATTGTGAGCTTGATTGGGCACTGCTGCTACTTCAGTCACCTTATTGATAAGGTTATCTTTATGTGATGGTATAGCTGAATGAAAATTTCAGCGCTTTCTTACCTACATCTGTCAAGCAGGGCTGCCCTTTTAGATGCAAACTGTTGTGAATCTGGCCCAGGATTCTTTTTATTCCCAGTAAAGTCCTCTCTCTGCCAGACATTGTTGTCTCCCATGTATCTTCTTCAGCAATAATTAGATATACTGGGAAAAATGCTATTGTGGTGCTCTAATTTACATCTGTTCTGAGCAGCTGCAGTTGCCATTGACTTCACTTGGAGCAGAGACTGACAACATTGTTTAGTATTAGGGCTGAGGAGTCCTCTGCTTGTATCTTCACAAAACCCTACCTGACAGTAGTGGGTGCCCCTTCACTTGAATCTGTGTCAAAAGGAAGTCTAATGTAGGCAGTGTAACATCACTAAGTCCTGCTATCCATTTTCTTCTGTATTCAAAATA